GGGCTCGCACAGAGACCTGGCGGTTGCACGGGCAGCACAGGCCCTGCAGCATGCTCTGGGAAAAAACGCCAGCCCATCTCCTCACAGTGAGGCACTGGGCTTTCACCTACTGCCAAGGGAATTCCATGGACACTTCAGAGCTCTCTTTGCTTATATGCATTTTGATTTCAGGCATTCTTTTGCCGAAAGGCTCCATGCCTCACATGGGAGAAGGACTGCGAGCTGCACTCAGGGAACTGCTGCCGCCACGCAGGGGGACGGGCAGGTAAGGTGTCCCAGACACGCCAATCAAGGCCAGGCTGCCGCCAGCGCTCCCAGGCTTCCTTCACTAGGACATTTCCAAACTGCATCGCTTCATTATATTTAACATCTTACCCCAGACTCATATGCAACACTGGATGAAAACATTTAGAGTTGTAAAATGCATCTAGTTCTTACCTTTGATATGCCTGAGGAGATGTGGGAGGTGTACTGAACACATGCGAGTATGGGTGATAGGGTGTCTTTTTCAAAGCCTGAATAAGATTTTGTCTATATTCTGGGTCTATACACCACAAGGACCCCTTTCCAATACTCTGCAAAGAAAAAAAGAATTAAAAAAAAAAATCAAATATTTGATCTAATGGCATAACCTTATTTATTTAGCAGTATTTGTCAGGAAAAGCAGTGGGTTTGGGTTTTTTGTCTGACAGAAGTGAACATAGTTTGCTTGACAGAGATGAGTGCTCCATTAATAACTTATTGTGACTGTATGATTTAAAATACTTCTGGGGGAAAAAAAGTAAGAACGAATGTTTGGTTTCTTCCCCCCCCCGCTCCCCCTTCTCCCCTTGTTACTAGTTAATATGATTTAATACCTGGCAATTTACCCATTGCCCTGTATTGTAAAAATAAGAAGCTACAGTTACTGTCAAATGGAAACTTTGGAGAAAAGTGGATTCTTTATGAAAGTTATTTTTTTGTCCCCTTGCTGGTATACTATCAAGAAACACGGCTAAAAAGGAGGAGTTCAAACACCCTAGCAACTGCTTTTAAAATAAAAGGACTTAATCCTCCAACCACATGACATCAGTGCCATTATACTAGAAAAGGAAATTAACCATCTTTTATCCCCAAAAGCAATAAAAATACCCTAAAAACCCCAAACTACAACAAAAAAAGCCCACACTATAGTCAGAGTTTAAACCATTTAAGAATGTTATGAAACTGTGAACTGTTAAAACAACAGTTACTGTAATTACCCTTTCTGGACACACAGAGCAACTCAAGCAGTCAATCAGTAACGTGAAGTCTACACTGAAATTCAGTATTTATTCTGCTGTTACACGCAGTGCGTTTTCACTTCTTGTCTCAATCCCATCAGAGATCAGGGTGCAGATATTTTGAATTGTTTTACACGAGTTCTCCAACAGAAAAATCAACTTTCTCTTGGCCCTACTATGAAAACATATAAAATGATAGCTCAGGAGCAGCCTTGGTCTGCTTGAGCATAAATAAAAACAAGCACTAATTCTGAGTGGACTCCACTGGCAGGCTTTCAAGGCATTATGATAAGGTTCATGGTAAATGTTCATGTTTTCTGGAAAAGGCAGAAGAGGCTCCCCTACCACCTCTACCTGCTTTTCAACCCAGGACCATTCCTTTTGTTGGCTCCAACTTCTATCAGCAGAACCAGGCTCTCAGTTTCATGTGTCAAAGAACAAACACACATACAAAAATCACACCAAAAATGGGATATTGTTTTCTAAAGCCACAACGGAGACCAAAACCAGACCCTTGTTTCCTTTCAAAAACTTGTTAATCTTTGTGGAGCCCTCTCAACTCCTAAGTGTTCCTCTGCCTCATGGATGGCTTTAGGACACATGGTGCAATACGATATACAATGCAATATGTGAAGTGCTTACAGACCTCCTTTTGAGTTTACAGACAGCAAATCTGCACCAAATAATAGAAAAATGAAAAAGAAAAACCTTCCCCCGTGTCACTGGATGGCTGTGTGGGACCATCTAGCAGGTTAACAGCTCTGTGTGATACTACTTGGCTTGAAAGAAAAGGAGAGGAGCTGGCAGAATCCACAGAAGCAGCAACTGCTTTCTTTCAGAAACCAGCACATCTGCTGGAGGGGATGAAGAAGGAACCATCTTCTGCATGCTGCTTTGGTGGAACTGAGAACATGGGGCCAATCCTCTTCAGGATGGCAGGGTTCAAGCCTGCCTCTCCCCTTGCTTCCCAAGGGCACTCTGTCTGAAGACCAGTGAACAGTCTAAGGGGGGGACATCCTCCAGCTCTCAAGGTGAAGCAGAGCCCTTGCATGACCAAAAAGCCCAAGATTCAAGGGGCTAGAAAGAACAAGCAGGCAAGACTCTTGGGCTTTCATCTTGGTAAAGCACTACAGCAGATGACTGAAAAACCATCTGCTGGTATCAGTGGTGGAAACTGTACACCACAGATCTCAAACCAGTTTGCAAAAAAGGACACCATTATGCTTAGCACTCTTTTAAACATGGGACAATGAGCCAGAGACTTGACATAAGCCTCATAAGCGACTTTTTAGGCAAAGGACAGAATCAAAAATAGAAGCCAAACCTCTCAAATTCCACTTCCATGCTCCATCCAAGAGACAGAGAAAGAAGAACACAAAATCTCCTTTTAAGCAAGCAATATGCAGAACTAGGAACATTTTTCAGGAGAAAACCTTTGCTGGATTCCTTACTCCTTACAGCATGGGATAAGCTTAAAAAAAAGCTATGCTTAAATACCATCTACCTTATTTGTACTTGCTGGAACACAACACATTGTTTCCAACTTCTCTGTTTTTTCATTTTACTTCCAAGACAGAGTTTTCATCTACCTGGAAGAGATTAGCCCCCAAAACCCATCAGAGTTAGTTCAAGCTGAGGGCCTTACAAGATGAAGTCACTATTGAAGAGTAACTTCAAAACCTTTCATTACTGTTAAGCTGAATTTGTTTGGCTTGCCTGTATTCTTGCACAAGCCAAAAATAATCTCGATGAAAAACAGAAACTCTCTCACACAAAAAGTATCGAGAAGAATTATACTCCTTGTTGAAAGAAGCACTGGGAAGGCAGATTTGCTGTATTTTTCACTGCAATTGAGCTGACTTATAATTTAGCAGCAAAAATAAACGCAATTTAAGGCAAGTTTGCTTTTAAAGGTAGTTATGTTTGTTTCTCCACAATCGAATAAGAGAGCAGAAATAAAAAGAAAACTGAAGTGTCATCCGCTTAAGAATCCTTCTTGACTGTGCTTCGTTAACTGTCTGTTTAGATGTGTCATTAGTCTTCCCATACACAGAGCAATCACAGGAAAGGAAATAATTGAAACTCAGACCCATCAGTTAGTGATTAATTTCCATCTTATGACACTTGGCTTGCTGCTTCTCTACCTCCTCCAAGCCAAAAGTCAATAGTGGCTCCAATCAAAAACCAGCAAGGAAGGGGGGGGGAAAAAAATCCCTGGATTACATTTGTCTCCCAGGCAACAAGTGACTGAGGAGTGGGTAACAGCCCCCTGATTATCTCAGCACTGGAGTGCTTTCAGACCTCCTGACAGCTGCCTCCTCCCAGGGCCAGGCAAAGCCACCTCCCTCCCTCACTCCTGCTCATCACAGGTTACTGCTTCTGCATCCGTGTTTAAGGTTATTAAAAAAAAAAAAGTGGAGTCACCTTCACCCTGTCCAAGAGTAGACTACAGTTGCAGGTGAGCTATTTCAGAGGTACTAATGGGAGAGAAAGCCTCACGTAGAAGTTACCCTGTAAAAGTTAGACTAAATAATTTTTTCTTTAAAAAAAAAGTCCTGATTATCTTTTCTACTAAGAAATTGCTATGCCCTTCTTCTGTCACATAATATATATATGTAGTATATGGAGTATTGTAGAGCAAATGAATTAGTAAGTTGTGATTTAGTATTTCTCAAATATCCAAATCTGATTCCCCCTCAACAATTAAAAGCAGTGCATTGCCATGAAAAGGTATGAGATGTACTCAGTGTCCAATTGTTCTTTCTCCCAACAGACTTCATAGGAAAGTTTTAAAATCCTACTTTACACAACCTATTGGGATCCAAACAAAAATGCTGGGTCATCTTTTAGCAGAATTTTAAAAAAGTTTTAAATTTAAAACCAAAAGAATTAAAATGCTGCTTGTCAGCTCTTTCAGTTGTTATAGTTGGGAATAACACCATTATCCACTATTAAAACTCCTTATTGTAAAGATTTTGCTTCTAAATACCTTACAACTAACTGCCTGGCCTTACGTATCATCTATCATCTGCCCAAAGCTCAAGAAAAAAAAAAAACTGCGCTGAGCTCTCTCTGAGACCAATGGCTAGGAAAAAAATACATACCTTGTCTATATAAAAATTGCGGCAAATGTTTATTTGAGGAATTTTGTTCCCTGGTTATTTTAGCAAAGACTTGAAACGTGTTAGGAACGCAACTTTTTTCCAGGGTTGTTCTTTTCATTGCCATACAAACAGTCTACCCAAAATAAAGCTTTAGGAAGAGAGCAGATACAGGAACCACAAAACACGTGGGTTCAGAGGGACGCTGGCAATTTCGAATTGCATCTTCTGAAGCTCTGGTTACACATTTGCTTTGAATCTACATCAGACTGTGCTGATACCAGGGAGGAGCAGCTCCAGGTGCCCACATCTCTCCCAGGGGCATCACCACTGAGAGGGTCCCTAAGGAAACATCCCCCAGAAGGGATGTAGTGGATGGAGGGGTCTGAGCTGCTGCTGCTGCTTCCCTGAGTCCTTGCTGCACTGCTCTTCTCCCCATCCTCTTGCATGTGCTTCTTCCACAAGCCCATTTCAGTCATTCTCCTTGAAGTAAACTATTTTGCTGGCACAATTTTGTCATTTAAACTCATTAAGCTGGCTCACATGAAGGGTCTGATGAGCACCAGGGCTGCTGCAAAGCAGCGTGGGTGCGTGGAGCCAGGGTGGGGAACAGGAGCTCTCCCCTTCTGCAGCAGGAGCTGCGGTGACTCCTCGATGCACCTCTCTGAACAGCACACTGAGAAAGGAAAACCAGGACTCTGGCTGGACACAAAGCAGCTCAGAATAGGAACGGGAAAACCAGCATGACAGAGAGCAGGCATACATGGGAGAGCTGGGGTGAACTGGCAACGAGGTGGCAGACACAGCCCTGAGAGAAAGACCAGGAGAGCCACACTGACGAGACCAGAGACACTGAGATGCTGCACACGGATGCATGGGGGCTTGGGAAGCTGGGTAGGCTGGGAGAAGGGGAACTGAAACAAGACCCACGAGTGTGTGAGTGACTGCACAGCTCTGCACAGGTACCCAGGCTATGCCAGCAAGCTGAGAATTATAGAACTGAACTTTAAGTTAAGGACCTTGCTACTTTAAACAAGCAAACATAACCGAAACCAAGCCAACAGCTCCCCACTGAATATATCTGCCCTTTTTCTTCTCCACTACCAAACCAGGAGCAGATGAGTGACCATGGCTAGACTCTCCTGAACCCAAACTGTCAGCAATATGAATTAGGCACATGGCAGCTACTTAGGGTGAAGTGGTGTAGATGTA